GGGAGGATGCTGATAGCTGGAGGGGCAAAAAAGGCAGGAATGGCTATGCCCTGGGTGAAAATTACCACCCACCTTCTCCCAAAAGCCACATTTCCAAGTGCCTCTGTCTTTGAAAATTAATATAAAAATTAACATAATAAAATAAAAATTAAATAATGGAGGATTTTGAGGCTGGTGCTGATGCTGCCAGCAGGTTTGGTGCCTCAGCCACTCAGATGATTTGAGTAGCTGACGAAAAGATGAATCATGCAGGAAGTGGAGAGAAGGAAATTCATAGGAAAAGGAAGGAACAATAGCAGGTATTTGCTGAGAGAACAGACAGAAACTCCCCTCTCTGCACCAGAGAAATGTAAGAGTGAGAAAATGTTGAGATTTAGTTTTCAGAGTCCAGCTGGATGCCTGGCAGCAGGGATGTGGCCACACTGGAATGAGGAAAGGTCTTTCTAGAGTAAAGCTATGTAAATGTATGAGCCAACTCCAGCTTAAAGGCATTATCTGCCATGTCAAGGGAATTGTTATTCTGTTCAGCGAGGTAAAAACTAACAGTGATAATTTTAATGCCCATAACTCCAAATAATACACTTTATTATCCACCCATTTGCTCGTCTTAATGCATAAAAACTATCATATGTTAACACTAATATATAACATCTCATAATTAAGTATAATAGCTATTCTCTAATTGCATTACCATTTGACCAAAGAAAATATTAACAGCAGCACCTGATCGATGAACTCCAGAAAAAGCAGTGGTCTGTAAACACTGGAGCCAAGGGACAGGGAATTCAGCTCCAGCTCCTCCCAGATCCTTATTTTCTTTGCTGCTGCCACATAACTGCTATAAATTAAAGCTGTAATGGGAAAGTAATGCTTGTGAGGCCAAGGAGAGGAGAATTCAAACCCTGCCTTCTCGGCCTTTGTTCAATAAAGTATTAAAAACGGGGAATTATTTTTCAGTCAGAAATCTTTATTTCTCACTGCTCATGGGAGCTGAGCCTCTTCCACTGCTTCACTCCAGGGTCTTGGGCAACCCAGTCTCCCAGCATCTGTGTCACTGGGTTAATCATATTTACGTGCTTTTTATGGGGGTTAATGATTAGTCGGGGAATGTTTGCGTGTGTTGCAAATTACACAGAAGTGACAGTTAATGGAACGTCATGTGGAACGCTGAGAGAGCTCTGCAACAAGCCAAGGCCCAGTCCAGTTTAGGGATTCTGCAGCCGCCTTGGTAACCAGTCAGTGCAGCCCAATCCATTTTAGGGGCTCTGTGGCCACCGTGGTAATAAGTCAAGCCTGCCAATCAAATTTAGGGGCTCTGCGGCCGCCTTAAGTAACAAATTGTAACACTTCTCAATTAATATGGGTATCTCCAGCTAATAAAGACACGTGTAGTCCTGAGCCAGGCGTGCACGTCAGTCAGAGTTCCCCCACGTGAATCAGGTGCCCGGTTAAAGTAATGCCTGCTTCTTCATGCTGCCTTGGTGTTAAGGAGTTTTCATTCCCGAATTTGGGTGACAGGTGGACTTTTCCAGACGCGACTCCTTAGATAAACACCACGTGTTAACGCCGGACAGTGGACTTGGGGCTGGCAGGGGTTAAATCCAGGAGGAGGGGCTTTTCTTTGGGGTGGGGGTTGACTGTGAAGCTCAGGAGCCGTCCCCAGCCCGGCCCAGACTGCCAGCTTCCCTCTATCCCTGCTTATGAGATGGTAAAGTGACTTTGTGTAGACAGATGGACTTGTGTCTGGCCAGACCCGGACCCCTGGCCGTGTCCCGGTGGTCTCAGGCTTGGGGAGCATCCCTGTGCTGAGAGGGTGCCCATAACTCTGTGAGGAGGGGTCTCCCTGTAATGGGGGTTCCTCCTTAACAGGGGATCCCCCCAGTGCGGGGGGGTCACTTCCTAATGGGGATGTCTGCATCACTGAAATTCGGGAATAAAACTCCTTAACACCAATGCAGTATCAAGAAGCAGGCATTACTTTATTACGAAGCCAGACTGTGGCCCGGGATGCTTATGGGGATATGCATACCTGGCTCATATTTGTTAACCCGGGAATACGGATTCAGCAGCAAAGTCTTACATGTGAAGTTGTTCAGCCTGGTTATGTAAAGTGGGCAATACGTTTTTGAACACCTTGTTACTAAGGTGGTCATAGAAACACTAAACTGGATTGGGTCGCATCGTCTTGTTCCCCAGCTCTCAACGTTCCACTAACTGTTACTTCTGCCTAATTTTCCACACCTGCACTGAGGGGGGTCCCCTCTTAGTGGGGGTCCTCTCTAATGGAGCCTGCCTGCAATGGGGGCCCCCATCATGGGGGTCCCTTCATAATGGGGACTGCTTGTAAGGGGCGGCGGGGGGGCTTATTGGCTGTCTTCCCTAATGGGGGGTCCCCCTTAATGGACTAACTGCAGTGAGCATCCCCTTAATTGGGGCTCTATACAATGAGAGCTCCCCTTAATGAGGCTCCCCGTGCGGCTCCTCCTCCGCACCGGGGGGGGCTTACTGAAACGGGGACTCTGCCGTGCAGGGGCTCCCCGCAGCGTGTGTCCCCCGCAGCGTGTGTGTGTGGGATGTGCCTGTCCAGGGGTTCCCCGCTCCGAGCGCACGGGCTGACCGCACGTGTGGCTGCGCCGCGCCCTCCCGTCCCGTCCCGTCCCGTCCCCTTCCCTCCTCCGGCCGGCCCACACGCACACCCAGCCCTCCTCCTCCTCCTCCTCCTCCTCCTCCCACTTCCTCCGCACAGCGCGGGCTGCCGGCCGAGCGCTCCCCTCCGTGCCCGCCGAGCCCCCCCGGCCCCGCAGCGATGCTCCGGGGGAGGCACCGCGCCGCAGCCGCAGGTGAGTGAGGGGCCGGAGGGATGCGCGTCCCGCAGGAGCCAGGACAGAGCGGAGAGATGTGGGGGGACACGGGGGCGGGGGGACCCCCAGCCAGCTCCCCGCTTGCTCTGGCGCTTCCCTGGGCGGGTGAAGCCCTGGGACAGGGTGGGGGGGCTCCCTCGCTTCCCCGCACGCCGCCTTCGGGATCGTCTGCTTCTCGTTGAGCCGTGCAGGGAAAAGCGGGTTGCAGGCTCCGGATCCCGGGATTTTACCCATTTATGGACACTTTGGATCATGCGGCTGATGCGCAGCGTGAGCGCGCTTAGCTTCCTGCGAGAGGCTTATTTTGGGGGTCGCCGGAGCGTTGGCTCACACGGAAAGTCGGGTGGGCCGTGGGGTGTGGCGAAGGGGACAGAAGACGAGTACACGGCGCTACTGCTTGCCCCGCCAGCCGCATCCCTACCTCGTGTCCTGGCAGGGGTCTGCGACCACCGGGGCACCCCCCCAGCCTTGACCGTGGCCAACCTGGGACGTGACATCGATGGTTCGGAACGGGATCGATGCGTTTTGGAGGTGTTTTAATCCCCTAAATAGTAAGGAACCGAGCCCTTCTGGTGCCTACTCAATGCTCCGTGAAGTTTTGGTTTTTTTTTTATATAAAAGTGAATATTCCGGGAGATTTTCAACTTAATTCGCAGACAAGCCATGGCTTGGTGCATGCATTCCATAAGGATACTGCCTTAAAAAACAGATTGCTTGGTCCAAGGGAAGGCTCTGACTCGGCATTTGCCCACCTGGGAGAAGCTCAGGAGCCGCAAACTTTGTGGAAGAGGGGCAAGGTATGGAATGAGGCAGCCGGGACCGCTGAGGCCTCTTGTTTGTTTCCCCGAACGATCAAAGCGGGGGGGTGGGAGCGTTGCTGGTGATCTCATCCAAACCCGCAGGAGATATGGGAAAGGTGGAGAGATGGGAGAAGTCACCTCCTCGGCAGGGTCCCAAAGTCCCCGGGATTGTGAAAGCGGGATTGCCGCCGGCCGGGAACGCGCCCCGTTACCAGTGGAGAATCCGCTGATCGAGGGGGGACCCCGGGGAACTCCATCCCCGCCTCGGGGGTGGCTCCGTGGGGCTGGGGATGCTTCGTGCCAGCGGGTTTAGGAGCTTTTGGGGGTCTGTCTCTCGAGTCCTGCGGGCTGGCTGAGAGCTGGCGGCTTTTTCTTGGCATCACGTGGCGATGGAGGAGGCGGGAGGCTGCGGTGAGAGGCTCCCACTTAGGACATCGCATCCTGGGCAGGAAATTCCGGGGAGCCGTGTGCTGCGCCTGACTGCCCCGCTGATAACAGACACGGGCGCATTGTTGGGAGCCGTCGGAGAAGAAAAGAGATGTCTGCAGTGTTCCAAACAGCCTTGGCAGGCCGGGGAGCCTCGGGGAGGGGGAACAGAAGTCCTCCTGTGCCCGTTGGACACCCGAAACGTGGCAGATAAAAAGTTTTCTGAGGCCCGTGGGAGCTTATCAGGCAGGTTTTGCTGCTCGGGCAGCACGTGTTCTTCTGCATTTGGTTTTGCTTTTACTCCCTCCTGACCAAACCCGAGAAGAGGAAGGGGAGGAAAAATCAAAAAACATTTAAAAAAAGATGAATAACGGGTTGTGTTTAATCCACCTCCTGTTTTTCCCAGCTGTGGGGTTTCAGAAATGCTGACTGCCTTTGTTGGGTTCACTCGGGCATCCCCCCAGCCCCGATTCCCACTTATCCCTCTCCTCCTCCACCTCCACCGGCTGAAAGGGGATAGTCCCAGAGGGAAAAAGCTGGTGGTGACAGCAAAACTGGAGCTGTTTTCTTGCGATGGTGCAGATGTAGGGATGGCACCCCCTCAGCGAAGCCCCGGTGGATTTCATGGAAAGAGTGAGCCCAGGAGTGTCCTCACCCTAATGAGGTTAATGAGCTTAACCCTATGAGACATCAGAGATTCCAAGTGCCTGGCTCGGGCCACGGGACATCCCTCCAGCAAGGCTGGAAGTCGGATCTGAGTGAAACAGGGCAATTGCATCATGCCCGGTGGCATCAGCTGGGTGAAGGCAGGGCTGGTGTCACAACGGCCCCACGCGCAGGGGGTGGGGGTTGTAGATCCCTGGGGTTTGGGGGAAAGGGGAAAAAGCAGTGAGGAAATGTCAGGAGTCACAAGATTCTGGGTTTATGTCCTGGCTTGTCCAACCTCAGCATTGTCACAGCTGGGAAGGAATCCCGTGGCTGCATCTCTCTCCCACGCAGCATCTCCTAGGGAGATGGCTTTAAACAACAGCCTCCTGAGAGATCCTTCTTGGAAGGAAAATAACCCAGTTTGGGATTTTCCCTGAGCTTTTTTCAATTTGAAGGGAACTGTTTTCCCTGGATCTAAGTGCTGGCAAATTTAATTGGTGCTGGATGTCTTAGAAATGACCCTGAGGATTTATCATGAGGATAAAGCTGTTGGAAACGATGCGGGGGAGCTGCTTCCGAGGGTGCAAGTGGGAAAGGAAGCACTGACCCTCTGATGGGGCTTTTCAGAGGATTCCAGGGAAGCAGCAACCTCACTGGAAAGTAAGAAATTGTTGAAGTTTGGATAAGAAACACAACAGAAGAGATAAGCAGAGAGTGCAGCTTCAGTTGTGCTTTTTTGGGGTGAGCTGGGGTTGGGGAGAGGCAGATCATCCCCTGCTCCCTTCCAGGCAGAGCTGCTTCACCACCGCCACTGGGTCCCTTATCTCCCCCCACAAGTCTTTTCATTATCTGCTTCATTTCCCCTGCTGTGGATGTGGCTTTTGTCTTATCTCCATGTGCTTTTCCTCCATTTCCTCGTTGGCTTCTCTGCTAACTCTCGTCACAAAAGGAAAAAAATAACATGGAGGAGATCCTGCTGCAACGAGTCCATCCCTGGGCTTGGGGATGCTGGGCCGTGCTGGGAAATACGGGGGGATGTTTGCCCATGTTGGGAGGGTGCTGTGCCAGTGATGCTCAGGTGGGTCTTGGGGCTTGCTTGGGTGATTTACAGGATGTTCAGGTGATGCTGGGGGGTACTGGGTGAAGGTCCTGTGATGCCCTTGGTACTCTAGTGATGCTCATGTGTCTCAGTGGGATGCTTAGGAGATGCTGGGCAGTGCTGGGGAGGTGCTGGGTGACGCCAGGTGATACTGGGAGAATACTTGGAATGCTCCAGGATGCAGGACTATGGTGGGATAGCCTGCCAGCTCCACCTGCTGGCATTCACCACCTGTCACTGTGGACCAGACCCACCACACAGCAGCCCCAAATCAGAAGACATCCTAAGGGAGAGGATGAACTGCTGCCTCAGAGGGAGAAATCTCAAATTACTTTAAAAGGTGAAACTGGGGGTGGGAATTTTGGGCACTGTGTTTGTGTCTGCTGGCTCTTCACCTGAGCTGACCCAGCTTTGCTCCCCACTGCCTGCAACAGATACTCATTGAGGCTTTGGAACCAAAGCAGTCAGAGCTTTCCAGGGCTTTTCCAAGGAGACAGATGGAGAAATGCCCAGCCAGCCTCCCAGGATTCCCCCCACTGGCTGTGTGCTCCCACCCTGGCTTACGCAGAGCTGCCTGACCAGATCCTGCACTTCCACCCTGATGATCAAATGCTGCATCTCAGTTGGGGTTGGGTGGGTTTTTTTAGGATCTCTGCCAGGTATTGGGAGGATGGGAGAAGGGAAGCAATAGCTGTTGCCTTTGGCAGAGGCTGGCTGTGAGGCAAGCAGGGTTTTCCACACTTCTCCTCCTCTGCTTTAGCTTTCCAGTGTGATCTTGAGTATCACAAATGGGGTGCATGTGAAAACCAACATTCTTTCTCCAGCTAGCATGGAGGCAAGGTGACTTTTGGAGGGCTCCTGAAGGACTCTGTCACACTGTGCCACCACAGGGTGCTGTCTGTGGGGACTTGATTTGCTCATGGTTTATTCTCTCTCTTGTTCAGGAAGGCCAGCTCACCTCTCCTGTCGGGACACCTGCAGCAAGGTATAAATGGCCTCAAAACAGTTCTTGGACTCTGTGGACCCCGTGATTTTCAGCAAGCGACCTCGGCTGGAGACAGAGGCCACCACCAGCTTTCCGTCCAGCAAAATCCGAAGCAAATCCAGCCCTGTGCCCAGCCCTGGTTCCGAAAACCATTTCAACTACAAAGGCTCCTACTTCGCCTGCCCACTGCAGAGCTCCAAGGGTCCTGAGCAGCCCCTGGCCCGCTGGAGCCCAGCGCCCACCTACCTACACTACGACCCTGGTGCCATGAGCCAGCCAGCGCCTGCCGAGGGGTCTCTGGTGGGCTTCCTGCTGTACCCATCGGAGAGCCTGGGCGCCCAGAAGGGCAAGGACAGCCTGATGCAGGAGCAGCTGATGGCTAGGAAAAAGCTGGACAGCCCAAGATGCCCCTTACCAGTGAAGAAGCCGGTGGCGGTGAACAAGGCGGCCCCACTCGCAGTCCCTAAGCCGGTGTATGGAGCCCCTGCCCGCTTCCTGGCCCCCAGGATGGCTCTGCCGCTGGGAACACGAGTGGAGAGCCTGCAGCAGACACCAAGGGAGGCAAACTGGGCTCTGCCCCCTGCCACCCACCCTCTCCACCTCGGCGAGCCCCACAGGAGGGGTCCCTGCTCTGACCCCAGCATCCCACCGCTGCCCTCCAGCCTGGGGCTGCCCACCAAGGAGCAGTTGGGCTCCCCCGCTGCCTTATCCCACTACTATGTCACCTTTGATAAATACAGGCCCCCCCCAAGCACCCTGGTCTTGGAAGCAAGCTGTCCCACTGCCCACAGCCAGAATAAGGTGCCAGAGGTCCCCAGCCTCATCCCGGACTCCTGTCCCAAGCTCCAGCTGCCTGATGCTGGCCTGACAAACCCGGAGAGGCCAGAAATGTGCTACCTACCTCCCCCCTACCCACTGTCTCCTCACAGAGCTGCTCCCCTCTACCACTCTCCGGCTCCCCCTGCGGGGGAGGCCAGTGCCCTGCCCAGCTCCAGCTTTGTGGAAAGCAGGAAGCCCTTTCCTGGCTCTTACCTCAGACCCCAAGCCCCAGGGAGCTACTTTCCCAGCCCCTTGGACCCCTACGTGCTGAGGACCGCGGGTGCTGGTCCCTCCAAGCCGGTGGTGGTGCTGAGGGATGCTGAGCTGCCAAGGGATGTCCAGCTGCCCGGGTACCCTGGTTTTACCTTCAACTCTGGCGATGAATCCGTGTTCCACACCTCCTTTGCCACCCCAGAGCCGGGATGTGAGCAGCACGAGGCGGAAAGTCCACGGTGGCGAGCGGCATCAAGGCACAGCAGCGCTTTCCAACCTGTCTGCACCCCTGAGAAGCTCTCCAGGGGCTCCAGTGGGCTCACGGAGACATTTCCCAAAAGAGAAGGGAGCTGGGAGAAACCCAGGCAAGGGGAGCAGGAGCCCCCATACCAGGGGAGGAGGAACACCAGCCCAGCCCCACAGGACACCCCGTGTGGGGGACCAGTGTCTCCTGTCATCACAGGGAAAGGAAATGACTGCAAGGTCAAGGATCCAACCAAGGAGCTTGCCCCACCTTCTTCATCCATGACCCCCCCAAAGGGGGTGGAAGACCTGAGGGACACCAGAGTTTTTTCTTCCTCTCCACCGATGCCAGTGATACACAATGTCTTCAGCCTGGCACCTTACCAGGAGTACCTGGAGAGGGCCAAGGGCTCAGCCCATGTCCTCTTCTGCAAGGACCATCTGTGGGGGGACCCCCCACCTCAAGACAAGAGCCCCAGCCAGGAGCCTGCTTCCCTCAGAGATACCTTGGTGGTGTCCAGCCTGAGGTCGGACAGCAGTGTGGTGCAGAGCCAAGGGGAAAGATGTCACAAGAGGGCCCCCAAAAAGCCAAAGCCTGTGTCCCAAGAGCTGAGGTCTCAGGAGGGCAGCCCCAGTGGGGTGGGTGCTGGGGAACTGCTCAGTGAGGATATGGTGCTGGACCTCAGCTTGAAGAAGAGACCAGTGGAAGCCATGGAGACCCAGGGACTCAGTGGCTGTGTGGAGGGGACGCTGGACCAGGACGATGTGGAGGAGGAGGAGAAAGAGGCTACTGAGGGCAAGATGGGAATGGGAGAGGGGGCCCAGCCCCAGCTGCTTGAGGTGGGCTCTGGGGACAGGAGCAACTTCCAGAGCTCAGCCACCTTCATGTTCAAAAAATACAAGCTCCTGCACTCCCTCACGCCCAGCACAGAGCCCCCCCAGCAGGATGGCAGCCCCCAAGCCCCCCAGCCCAGCCCACCCAGCAGCACCCCCACACCGAACCCACCAGCCTCCTCACCATCCAGCAGCCCCCCAGTCCCACCACCTGGCCCCCAGCCCAGCACCATCTCAGGCCCAAACCCTCCCCAGCCTCCACTTCCCAAAACCCCCTTCACCCCAGCGGAGGAGGGGATCTCACTGGCCAGGAAGTTTGTCAGTCCCCCACCAGACACCCCCTCTGGGCAGTACTTTGCCACCCTGCACACCTGGCTCTGTGACACGATTTCTGGGTCAGTGTCACAGTCATCCCCAGAGCTCCTGCAGCAGTGGCTGAAGAAGGCAGAGCTGGCAGAAGAGCTGGGAGAGATGCCCAAATCCCTGCCCAAGTCCAAGAACAACTCCAAGGCTCCCGCTCCTCAGAAGCCCATGAAAGGCAAGGAGATCTGGCTGGCTTTCCAGGACGTGGCCACGCTCCTTGCCAACCTGCTCTCCCAACTGGAGACCTTCATGTTCGCTTGCCCTTTCCCCCACGTCGTCCGGGCAGGAGCCATCTTCATCCCCATCCACGTGGTGAAGGAGAAGCTCTTCCCGAAGCTCCCTGGGACCTCCGTTGACCTAGTGCTGCAGAAGCACAAGGTGGAGCTGCGTCCCACCACGCTCTCAGAGGAGAGGCACCTGAGGGACCTGGAGCTGAAGAGCTGCACCTCCCGCATGCTGAAGCTCCTGGCACTCAGGCAGCTCCCTGAAATCTATCCAGACCTGCTCAACCTCCACTGGCACAATGCCATCCGGCAGCAGCTCGGTAGGTAGCCCGGCATCTCCTGTGAATCCCAGGGGATGCTGCAGCTGCACCTGCCTTTCAGATACTGCTGTTTTTTTGGGAGCCTCTGTCACTCACCCGGTGCCTCAGCCTCCCTGTCCTACCGTGTATTCTGCCCACCTTTTCCCTGGAGGTTGTGGAGGGAAAAAGCTTGAGCTGGGAGGGGGAAAAGTCATCCTGGGGATATCGAGGAGGCGTCAGTCACCTCCAGGCCACCTCTGCCCAGCCAAGGGCAGTGTGCCAGACCTGCCACCTGTGGTTGTCCCATCAAACTGGTGGCCTCTTTGCTCTACCCAGATACCCTTCTGCTGCTGCTCAGGGCCATTACCAACAACTTTTATTTCTTGCAGGTTTGAGGTCGCAAGCTAGCCAGCGTCCTTCCAAGTAAGTAATTCCTCTTCCATGTGGCTTTATAGGAATTTATGGGATTTATATGTCATTTTGTGGAGGTGGAGGTATATTTTTGTGGATTTGAGCTGGCTGAGGAGGCTCCACCCCCTGGGTCAGGTTGGAGCGGGGAATGTTTGGGATGTGAAGGTGAAGATCCCACCCTCCCTAACTAACCACTCCTTCCTCTCCCAGGTAGCCCAGACGCTGAAAGCTGATGGCAAAGGAACAGCCATGGATAGATCAGAGAAAAAGGAGGCACTAAGGAATGTGCCAAGGACAACAGCCAAATGAGAATGGGAACAGGAAGGTCCCTCGTCTCCAGAGCTGTGGATATTGAGATCACCAGCAGCCCTACGGGGAGGTGCTCAGTTCCCACCAGCATTAGAGGACCCTCCAAGGACAGTTCTCAGGGTGGAGAACAGCTTAGTGATGCAGGACCACACGCTGGCGTGGTATCTGGGCACACAGGGATGGGCTCAAGCCCCTCATGGCAGCTGGAGCTACTTTTCTTTGAACACATCATCTCTTAGTGCATCTCCCACCTCCATCCATGACTGACTTGGTGAGCTGGGAGGAATTGGCTGGAGTTCCAGTGGATCTGGAGCAAGAGGAGCATGGAAACAGTCATAGCACCATCCCCAGCCTTGGAAAAAGGCTGGCTACTGCAAGGACAACATCCTACCTACCTCCTCTCTCCTCTAAATCCCCTCTCCTGCTTATCCATGCCATTCCCAAGAAATGTACCTGGTTTTTCATGTTTAAAGTACTACAGAGACCTTACACAACATCAGCACAAGGGAATCGTGACTTCTGTAGTCCCGGGACTAATTTTTTTTGTTTTAAATGAAGACATTTTACAAATGTTCTGGATTTACCTTTATAAGGAGCTGCTGCCTTCAGGTCATGTGTTTCGGGTGGTTTTTTTTCTTTAAATACAGTAATTTATACTTGTCTTTATTTCAACTAAAAAACTGCAAGAAAGATTTAAAGACTCCTAAAGAAAAGTCAAACTACTTTCCATCCCAGATGGTCTTCTAGTGGAGAACATGGGAGATGCACATTTAGTGATCACCTTAATGGAGATGTGGTGATCATAGGAGCACAGAGGGGAGCCATGCTGCCAGGCCTTGGAAGCAGGGATCCTTTCCATCCCAGAGGGCTGATGGGCATACCAGAACATTCAAACATCCCCTCGTCCTGGGGGGCTGCAGGAGGGTGCACGGCAGAGGCCTTACCAACTCATCACTCAGGTGTTTCTCCAGCTCTACTGCAGGGCATGGAGGAACAAAACAAGGATTCTTAGGATTTTTTTATTTCACTACAGGGAATATTTATTTTGAACTAAGAAAAAAAAAACCTACCCAGACTGTACTTAGCCAAAAGGCGTGTTTGCTGTTGGGGGATTTCTGTGTGTGCCTTTGTGGTTTTTCCATTGGGATGGACTTGCTGTGGATGGGACAGGGAAGGGGGGATGCTGCTGTTCTCCTCACTCTCCCTCACCACGCCGTGGCTGTGCACGGCGATTGGGAAAGCAGCGTTTGTTAATAACGTCATTTTTATACCTTTTTATTGCAGGGAAGAAAGCTCCTTCCCCTTATTTAATTTTTTTGTAAGAATGTCAATTCTGAGAGGTTCTTCACCTGATTAAAAGAGTTTGGCTCATTTCCAGACATGAAGCCGTGATTCCGTCTCTGCTTCCCAGTGTGGGCACAACAGGACCTTTCTGGGGATGGAGGGTCCCCAGATCCCCACCCTGATGCTCTTGCCTGCTTCTCCCTGCATGAAGCCACAAGTGATGTGCCCAGTCGCCCTGTGCCATCATCAGGGGCTGGATTCAGTGTCCAATGTGCCATCACAGATCACCCAGGGGAGAGGGACATCCAGAACCAGGGTGACAGCCTGGGGAGAGGATGCTGGTGGGAGTGTCTGAGCACCAGAAACTGGGCAGGAAAGCATAGGGTGCTCAGGGATGCACCCTGGGCTGATCCAGTGGGGACCCCCAAGACACCTTACCCCTTGTGAGCCTCCTTCAGGCATGGAATCTACCTGATCCCAAAAGCCAGGTGCCCCAAACATGTTTTTCAGCCCAAATTACTGGAGCTCAGCAGGGGAACACCACTGCCACAACCCACTCCCCCCAGACAGGGTGTTTTGGGGTGCATCATCAGGGTTTCGGGATGATCCTGCCTAAAGGAGCAGGCACACACCCTCCTTCCTCTGCCAAGGACTTAATGAGGAGCAGAAGGAAGCTGAGACCCCTCCAGCTTCACCTGGGGGATTGCAAATGAGTTTGTGTGTTAATTGGGAGCAGCTGGAATGGAGGCACATCCCCCTGGGAAATCAGATAAAAGCCAGGGCTTGGGTGCTGTCAAGTGTGTGTGGGTTGGTGAGTTTGTTTGTCCTTGGGGAGGCTGATTGCAGCAAGGTGGATGTTTGGGGCAGGGAATGAGATAATGTCTGAGTCCAGGGCTGGTTACAACCCTGCTCTGCCCTGGGAGCCTCCTGGGAGATGCCAAGGCTTGGCACAGGCTTTCCTGAGCTAGGAAGCTGGTGGAGAGAAGGAAGATATTTTAATAAGGTGCCCTGGCTCTGGTATGTGGGTTGCTCTGGGAACGGAGCAGTCACTGGGATGGGCTGTTGGGGGGAGCTGGAGGGACCCAGCCTAAATCTGCTGTACCTCTCCACATGGCTGCTCTCAAGATGAGCCAAGGGGTTGGACCACCAAACCCTCTGGGCACTGCTGCCCTGCAGAAGAATCCAGGCACAGCAAGTCCAGGACAGCATCAGTGGGACCCATTCCAGCACGACCTTCAGAGCCCACCCATGGCAGCCCAGGCTCTGTGCCCACCCCCAGTTCCACAAACCCTGCTCTGGAGCATCACTCCGAAGCTGGGCACCACCAGTGTGCCCTCTCCATCCTACCTGCCAAGTTCTACTGGAGCTGGATGTGTAGCCAGCTCCCAGCTCAGCTCCCAGACCCTGGCTCAGACCACAGGAGTGACCCTTGACGCCCTGTCCATGTCCAGTGGCTCCATCACCTCCCAGCTCCCCTCTATAGCCCCAGATCTCCCTGCAGCCACTGGGGAGGCCTTCAGTCAAGCTGATGATGATGATGGGCAAACCTGCCTCCACAGGGATGAAAACCCCTGTGTCCTACCCCTTCAGGCTCCCGTCTCCCACACAGCCCATGCACGTGCTGCTGTTGCAATTCCAATTGCTGGGCATCAGTCCCACTCCAGCTCTGTGGAGCAGGAATTTGGAGAGCTACAGGGAGCTGGAGGGAAACATGAGACTGGTGGCGAGTGCTGGAGCTGGTTGGGAGAGAGACTGGCATTTTGGGGTGCAGGGAAGCTGCTGCAGGACCCAAGCCCTGCTGGGGTGAGAAGCCTGTGGGCTGCATCAGCCCTTACTAGGTCTATTGCCACCCGAGCATGGTGGAGAGGGGTAAATCCCTGGCACTGCTCCACCAGAGCTTGGTTTGAGGTGGGACTGGGCTCCCCTGACCTCTGGCAGCCAGCAGGGCCGTGGCATGCTGTGTTGGTGCTGGGGTATTTCCTCCCAGGTGCTATTCCTATGTGGATGAGTGCTCTAGGTATCCCAGCTCATCCATGGGCACCCCCAGAGGGCTGGCACTCCCTGGAGTACCAGCATGGCCTCCCCTGGGCAAACTGAGCTGACTCTCTTCTATTTATTGCCCACCTCCTGGTATGTTTCCCCTTCACATGGGGGAGCTTGGAAAAGCTGCTCAGTTACCAGGTTCTTCTTTCTTCCAGCTAAACCAGATGCCGTCCAGACCTTCTTGCAGGCAAACATCCTTGAGTTCATGTGAGTGTGCAGCTGATAGGAAGGGGCAGGTTTGGTTTGGAGGGAAGGGTTTGCCCAGGAAAATGCTCCAGATGGGTCTTGTGAGGGGCTATGCTCCCTCCCTGGGATCATCATCCCGAGGGATGCCTGTCTGAAAATGTCTGAAGCTCTGGATGAAGCCACTCAAGACCTCTCTTGAGGTGTTGATGTGAGGATGGTGGGGCTTTAGAGCTACTCCCAGAAGGAAGGTGGGCTGCCCACTGTCGCCCTCACAGGAATGGCTCAGTGGTTGTGCAAGGGGAGGTTCTGTTCCAGGGGGATGTTCGTGCTCCCACTAACTCCCATCTCATCTGGACAGTCATCAGGGACCAGTAGGGGAAGGAGCATCTTCAGCTGGCAACTGGAGCCCCAGTCTGTCCAGTCCAGTGGAAAGCTGTGAAGGTTTTCCCACAGCAGAGCTGTTGCTGCCAAGTGCCCTCCCTTGTACTTCTATCAAAGGCAAAACCTGCCCAGTTTGGATTCCAGGCTCTACCTTCACCCAACATCCTGACCTGTGTAAAGCCATTTTAAGGATGTTAAGGATGCTGGAGACCACATTTGAAGCAGCTGGAACCTCTGGGAGGCTGGATGTGCCCACCCCATCCCACTGTGGAGCAGCTTCACCTGGTGGTGGGAAGATGCAGATCTGGAGCTGAAGCAGAGCTGGCGGTGAGATAAAGCTTGTGGGGCTGGAGATGGAATCACTGTGGTGTTGGGATAGTGTCTGTGGGGTTGGGATAGCTGGAGGTGGGATAGGGGCAT